TCCGCCTCTCGTTTCTACCCACTTGTTTTCCCCAAGGTTCGTGGGTAAAAGTGATTCATCTTGACATGATGACGCGCAAATGTAAAATGCAACCCCTGAAATCAATCATCGAATAATAGGTTTTTTTTAATAACATATCTATTTCCAGACGTGTCAAATGATGTTCACTTGAAACGGCATCGGAGACCAGACCTCTATTTGCGAGATACAGACATCTCTTTTAGAATATTAGACAACAAATATCTGTATTGACAAAGCGTTGTAGCCCTGAACCTCTAGCTGGTATCAGGAGGAATGAAATGCATGACATTTCTAACAACAACCAGCCTAGTCCCAACCATAAGGTCAAACAAACGTTGCTCTGTCATCTTCCAAAGGAAGTATTGACACTTATCCTTCGACAAGTTGTGTCAATGTCTGTGGCCTATATTGGTCTTTTGAGACGTCTCTTCCCTTTAAGTGATCGGTTCAATGCTCTTGTTGCTGAGATTCAGCTTCCAAGAATACACGTGTCCCCGTATGTTGTGAGGTACATGGAAAGGAGTTCGGATGAGGTTCCTCTCGGCCAGCTGTGTGATTGGTCTTTGTTGAAACTATATCGCTTTGCAGGGAAGAACAGTGGACTCGCGGTGGAGCTGCGCCGCATTTTTGGGAGCTATAAAGGGTGGCTATATGGGAGGGCCATGCTTTGTGCACTTGGATTTGGATGGTTCAAGTTGCATAATTTCGATCCAAGTAAAGGATGGGATAACTGAATTGCTTAGGAAAAACGCTAGAGTCAGGCAGATTGGTGCACAATATGATTAAATTGTTCATAAAAGCATGGTATTTGGCACACAGTCAGAGTATGTCATGGGAAAGATATTTGACTATAGGGCCATCGCAGATTTGTAATTTGGAAAACTATATGTAGAAAAGTAATTTCAGAATTTTCAAAATGGCTGCCAAGATCAGATTTGTCTTCCACATTATCAGCAATGCAGACCTACATGCAAATTAAACAAAATCCTCGATCGACCGTCGGACACAATGGGTCGGACATAATCGGCAGTCGGACTCAATGGGTCGGACATAATCGGCCGTCGGACACAATGGGTCGGAAATAATCGGCAGTCGGACACAATGGGTCGGACATAATCTGCCGTCGGACACAATGGGTCGGACATAATCGGCCGTCGGACACAATGGGTCGGACATAATCTGCAGTCGGGCACAATGGGTCGGACATAATCTGCCGTGGGACACAATGGGTCGGACATAATCGGCCTTCGACACAATGGGTCGGACATAATCGGCAGTCGGACACAATGGGTCGGACATAATCGGCCGTCGGACACAATGGGTCGGACATAATCGTTTGTCGGACATATTGGGTCGGACATAATCGTTTGTCGGACATAATGGGTAGGACATAATCGGCTGTCGGACACAATGGGCGGACATAATCGGCTGTCGGACACAATGGGTCGGACATAATCGGCTGTCGGACATAATGGGTCGGACACAGTCGGGCGTCGCTCGTCAAAATCTGTTGTCGGACGTAATCGACCAAACGGACATAATGGTCGTGAACATACGCTCGAACGCACCTGCCTGGTACAATGAGAAACCCACCCCACACAAGTGTGAGTAGGGCTCAGTGTTGAAGTCTAGTCACCAACGTCGAGTCCGAGTCCGAGTCTCGTGTCACAATCCTCGAGTCCGAGTCTCGAGTCACAAGCCTCGTGTCTAAGTCTGAGTCTCTAGTCAGAAGCCTCGACTCTGAGTCCAAGTCTCGAGTCACAAGCCTCGAGTCCGAGTCCGAGTCTCGAGTCACAAGCCTCGAGTCCGAGTCCGAGTCTCGAGTCACAAGCCTCGAGTCCGAGTCTCGAGTCACCAGCCTCGAGTCCGAGTCCGAGTCACGAGACACTTGTTCTTAGTTGTTCACCAAACTAATATTTTTTTTTTAAATTATTTTTCAATCATTCACTCTTTTTTTTTTTTAAAGTAAATCTCTGTGTATACAGTTTTCCTTGTGTGTGTACATGTTGTTTAGACCCAAAATGTGTTTTCCTTTTAAATCCCATCCCTAAAAATACCCTCCTCCATGATACCGGACACTTTTTGGCTTGCATGGTGCTCGTCGTGCAGGGGCTACGGGGTGTGCGTGCGGCCCCTAGATACGATTTTCCGCGGCGCCGTGTTTTGTCTGAAGTAAAAAATGAATGCTACGTTCGTCGCACAAATACGTAACATTATGTTTTTTCTTTTAATGAATATACGTGACTCGAGTCACGAGTCACCAAGCTTGAGTCCGAGTCATCATGGTCGAGTCTGAGTTCGAGTCATTTTCCAATGTGACTCGAATCGAGTCCGAGTCACGAAAAATGTGACTCGAGTCCATGGTAGGGCTGGGTGGAGTTTCGATTGGGGGGGGGGGGGATGAGGACATGTGTCGTATCCGGTACTTTGCAGTTGTCAAATACAAGTCCAAACGTATAAAATATTAGGGATGAGTTGAATACCTCAAAGTTAAAAGTTTATTTGCATGCACCGTAACACAAATATCGTAATTTTTTTAAAACTATTTATCGTGCTTTAAGAGAACAAATAAAATGACTTAAAATTACTGAAAATGACACAACAAAATTTTTGTGTAAATAATGTCCAGAAAATCTGCTTTCGATTACAGGACGTTTCAAATACGGTAGGTAGCTAAGGATATTTTCTTAATGCAATAAGTTTATGTGATTAGTTATACATGTTGTACATACAATGAAAGGTATATTCAAAATACAAAACACATTTTTTTGAGGGAAGAAAAGATAATTCGGTTGAATTTCTAAGGTTCGAAATTGTTTTTATACAGCCCTCCATACTGCCATATGTTTTAGTTATCCCCTTTTCTGTGATGAATGTAGTAATTCCATATGCTTGACGAGTCCGTCTTTCGCATTTAAGAGTAAAAAAACAATTAAAAAAACAGAAATATTTCCGAAAACAAGAGCTGGTGGGCCAAACTGTGTCGCCGAAGCAGCTGATATAAATTATGAGTAAAACTTTGAACAAGTCGATATTTAACCATGCTGAAAACATGGTCGGTATTGAGTTTCAACTTACTTTTGACTTCGTGTCTCCGTTTTGATATTCCCCAGATTGTACACAAAGGAATTTCTATCCGGGCCCATTGGCGTGGATTCAACTGTTTCTTTGTATTTGAAGCTGATGTGTACAATGACAAACAGGACACAGCAGGCTGCAGCTGTGCTTCAAATCAAATTCAATATCGGCTCAATAATGTTGATTGCAATGAGTGGCATAATACAGGCTACATATATCATATGACAAAATGCAAAAGAGTCTAGTACTGTTGTTCACAACTGTTGGAATTCGCATCCGTGCTGAAGTATGCACTCAACATGAAGCAGCTGTGTGCATTGATAAACTGGTAACAGCTTCAAATCCAAAAATTGCTCACTTGTGTGGCATATCAAATACGGGCACATCGAAAAAAAAATCAACAATCTAGTTACTTGCACCTGTTGGAATTTGCATCCATGAAGCTGTATATTCATCGCAAAATTTGCAGAAAACCCAATCATTCAAAAACAAAGGCTTTTGTGCAAGTACGCGGAAAATCTTTAAAACCACAAGTTTTAACAGCTGTTTCGCCGAAACAGGTAATACATCAATACATTTTAATCTATATTTAATTAGGTTGAAAGCATGGTCGGGAGGTTGAGTTTCATCTTTGTTATGGACTGCGTTTCTCCTTTATATTTTCTGGGGGACAACACGGAAAAGAATTTCTATGTAGGCCATTGTTGTTTCATATGGTGCTTTGTAGTTAATTAAGCAGCTGTGAACACTGACAAACAGGCAACAGCTGTGCTTCAAAGCCAAAATCAATGTCGGCTCACTCCCTTGTGGCATATCAAAAACGGGCAGTGACCTGCCATAACATAATGAGGAATAAGTCCCACCTTTGGCTTTTCAAGTTATAAACATCATGTCAAAGAGCAAATCCTGGGCTTGCCAATGATACAAAATTTGTTTCTGTAGCTTATTTTGTTCCAAAGATATGCCGCAGGAACTTAATCGACAGTTTTCCCGCGAATATCGCCGACCTAATTTCTAGAAAAACGCCTTTAAAAAACAAAGACAAGAGACAAGCTATTCGCAGCTGTTGGAATTTACATCTACGCAGCTGATTGCATTCGTCATGTCAAAATAATAATAGTTATTATTATTATTATTATAAGGTAGAACCACGCTGAATCCGCTTCTTTGACAGTGGGCCTCTTTTTTGTCCATTTTCAAAACGAAAAAGAGACGTTTTAAACAAACCCCTTTACAAAGGTACCTGTAACAATTTGGCATCATTTTCAAAACTATATAAGGACTCTAGAACAACACCTAATTACTGCATAACAAAGATTGTCATTCAGATGCATGTAGTTGTTTATTCTTATCAGCGACGACTGGTTCTGTCAACATGGGGGACCTGGAGCTTGGCAGTTCGAAATGCAGGAGGTGGGAGGGGCCACACACTATCTAGACATAAACATATGTGCATTTACGCCTAGTAGGGGAGAAGGGCGAATACCAGACCTTGCCATAGGTCTGGGGGTAGTACAGGGCCAATGGGGAGAGGGGCAGGTACCAGACTTTACCCCTCTCCCTTTCCCCCACCCACTGGCCACGCCCCCACCCACCCCCTCCCAATGATCTCCCTCTCCCTCCCAATAATCTCTCCCAAATATATCTTTCAATATCTCAGTTTCAGTCCCAGGCCCTCTATATTTATAATTTTTATTTTTGATCTTGTGTTAAATAAAAAAAAATTGTATAAATACGACTCGTACAAGTCTACTCCAACCCTGACTTGCAAAATATGAAGTGACTCAGGGTGACCATGGAGGAATGGGTGACATTACACTTTTCCAGTTGAGTAAACGTCTATTGAAATTCAATGGACCGTGATGAATTGCTTTTGTTAGCGGGGCAGCCAGGATATATGGCTCATCGCATACGTTAGAAGCAAACAATGGTTGCTAATTTTAGTTCCTATGTAAGCCAGTCGGATTGACTATATTTTATATAAGGCTGAATTCAGTGGGATCTAGTCATATCGGCACAATTGCAGAATTATCAAGACTCGACAGCACTGTACACTGCATAGCTTCATTTCCAAAATACGTGGCAGCTAAACTACCAACAGACCAACTTTTGAAGGTAATTATAATACGCTTATAACGTGTATTTTTTATACATCAGGTGCCCAATATGTCAGGGTGATTTGTGCGTAAAAGGCGAAAACCATAGGCGCCTTTACATGTCAGCGGCCCCGAACACGTTGTACTCGGGTACCAATTGCACGATAAAATCTCTATCCGTTCTTATTACCGCATCTGGGTCGAGTTCACTGGGTCTCATAGAGTCATCACTTCTTTTAGCTGGTTGTCCGTCTATTTGCGTATACCAATCAATCTCCGTGGCGCTTGAAATATTAAAATATCCGGGATTAAATATTACCCTTTTTACGCGTACAGATTTTTGACCGTTTAGATTATCTACAACGTCTTCTAATTTAAACGTCTGCTCATTTTGAAACAATTAAGTGAAACGAATGCATTTATTTTAAAGTCTTTTTATATTAAAACTGAAACTAAAATAATGAGTGATTTTGAGTCGTTAAAAAAGCAGATACAATCGATAGCCGATCAGGTAACGAGACAATTAAATCAAAATGTAGCCAAGGCAACCGAGCTAAAGCATCAAGCTACACCCCAAGCAAAGTTTTTAAACAGCACTAAACCCAGTGAACTGGAGGTCGTAGTTAATAATACCAACGGGTTTTTAACCATGTTTCCCGACTTAACCTCGGACTATAAATTGCCTCACGTTGAGACGGACGAGGATGTAGATCGTTGGAAATCACACCCCATGTCGTTTTATCAAAATCAGTTAAATTTTGCGATCTACTGCGCTACTACGGGCTGCGGTATTGGATTCGATCTTTTAAATGCGAGCAACCGTTACGTTTGGTCCATCTTTAACTTTCATTTATATTTTACGGTTAGAAAGATCCTGTACGACTTTGCCGCTCCTTTACCGGGAGATGACGCATTTAACGCTCTAGACAACAATTATAATCACAGAACATTTACCGATACCTGTTTGTTGTTTGGCATAGATCAAAACAAGTCTTTTAAACAGACGAGAGACACAAAATCTAACGGTTTGGGTACCTCGTACAGCTTTAATAAGGGCAAGTTTGTGGCGGTTGGCGAATACGATAGAGCATTACCCGACAACCCCAACGTTATTTACGGCGGTTACCACGGTCTAGATAGTCCTAAAAAGAGTGGAAGCAGTTACGTTCCTTGGACGGTTATTTACATCGAACAAAACGAATCGGTACAAAAGGCTTGGTTAGATTTTATACCCGACACAAGTTCGTTTACCCCCGCGGGAATCATAAAGATCAACGAATCGATCAGATCTTACGTGAACGCTTTACTCGGTGCGCAGGCTCAAACAAAAACGAGCGTATTAACACCGGGCACCGGATTAGATGCTCAGAGACAATTTAACATCATCGTTGAAGATATCATCAATGCAGTAGACGACATGGAAACGAGTATCAATCAATTTCAAGACTCTTTGCAGTATGCCAGAACGCCTTTAAATTTTGTCGTGAAACCGGGGTTGTATTTAATTCCATCGGATATGAACTTGAGGGTTGGAACGCACGACGGCTATAACAACAATCTTCAAATTGCTACCCAGAGTATGAAAACTGGTTTGGTGCCAGATTTAAACTCACAACCTCAACCGGACGACTCTTTTGATGACACCGATGACGTCGCGCCACCAACACCCCCAGAGCCTATGACGAACGATATTGTATCATCAACACCAGCACCAGCACCAACACCCTCGCCTACAGTTTTAGCCCAAGAACCCACGAAACTACAAACTCACCAAGACGAAAAATTATCGCTGACGGTAGGAATATTGGCCATCGTTGGTATGGGTATTTTGGCTTACGAGGCAACGCGATAAGTCACACTCTAATCACAACACACAAAAAAAATAAGCCTTACCAGCACAAAGTTGGTAAGGCTTATTTTTTCGTTTAAACTTGATTACAACTATTACTATCATCTTTTTTGCAGGTATGCAAACACCAAGGCTCCCACACCCAAAAACAAAGCCCACACGTGTTCGGCCAACCACGATACGGACTTACTCAGCGCGTTAAATATCCAACTGAGTACGCTGCCTATGATACCCGGCAGAGCACCCATTGCGCTCGCTCCGAGTTTTTGAAGAGCAGAAGCAAAATTAGCGAGTTGTTTTGAAATCCACTCTTTGATACCACCTTTTGGTGGTGTTGGTGTTGGTGTTGGCGATGGCGCGGGTGGGGCACCCGCACCTCTCACGCTAGCGACGATGCTACTCACTATCATGCTGATGGCTAAACTAAAAGCGGCTAAAATACTCACTACGGTCACACCTTGTTCTCTAAACAGAGTTCTAATCTTTTCCGCCAGAGTCGTGTCGTCGCCTAATATTTTATTAATCGTTTCTTTGATTCTAGCGATCTGACTTTTGAGCCCTCGTTCGTTGGCTTTTGCGGCTTCTAATCTGGCAGATCTTTCAACGTTGTTGACGCAGTTGTTGACTTTGATCTTCACTGAGTGTCTTACGTTCGTAATGCGTAAAGCCTAATTTGTTTCTAATAAAATCTCTACCGTTTAAACCAATCTTCTTTACATATATCTCTATAGTCCTCAGAGTCAAAAATCTGTTTGGATCATTTCTAACCGTCAACCTAACATCACCTTTATCAGATTTGTAAAATAAACCATCTATTTTGAGAATAAATTTTTCGTATCTAGGACGTATTGGTTCATTGTATATGTTATAAGTATCGTAAAACTCATCAACGCTAACATTAGTGACCATGCTTCTTCCTCGATCTAAAACCTCATCTATGTCGGTAGTTGGGATGGGTGTATCAGGATTTTCAAAGTCGTCATCTACATTGGTATCTGCTACATCATCATCATTGTTATCATCTGTTCTTTCATAGTCTGGATCGTAAAATCCTCCTTCAGCCATTTATTTAATACGCCTATTTAAATTATACCGTTTTCATTATACTGCCCGGTAGTATACCCTGGGCCACCAACCAATTTTGTGTGGCCAGAGCTCCACTTATAATACCCGTCAATTTACCCGCATCTTCTACGCTTAGTTAAGTTCTACGCTTAGTTAAGTTAGTTAGTTAAGGTTAAGTAATGAGATCTGCTCGCCTAGATGTAATCTTTCTGCTCCAACGTCACCCTCTGTTGGTACTCTCACTGAATTTACTCAGCTTTCAGAATCTTCAGTTCGTAAGCTCATTTTACATTCCAGTAAGAAATGCTGTATTCTTGATCCGATACCAACTAGACTGCTCATTGAAAGTTTGGAGGTTATTTTACCCGTTGTTACTAGTATGATTAATACTTCTCTTCGCACTGGCCATTTTGCTGCAACATGGAAATCAGCCCTTGTGTCCCCGTTGTTAAAAAAACCTGGCCTTGGCTTAGTAGTTGAAAATTACCGGCCAGTCAGTAATTTGCAATTCATTTCGAAACTGGTTGAACGAGCTGTTGCAGATGAGTTACAAGCCCATTTAGAGTTGTATAAATTGTATCCCATTGCCCAGTCTGCCTACCGTCAGTATCATAGCACAGAGACGGCTTTACTTAAGATAAGAAATGATATATTAATGGCTATGGATAGACAACAGGTTTCTTTGTTAGTTTTGCTTGATTTGAGTGCCGCCTTTGACACCTTAGACCACAACATTTTACTAAATACCCTCCAGAGTAAATTTGGTATTTATGGTACTGCTCTTAAATGGTTTCATTCTTACTTGTCTCGTAGATCCCAACGTGTTTCTATAAATGGTAATCTCTCTCAGCAATTTAACATTGATTATGGCGTTCCACAAGGCTCTTGTCTTGGGCCTTTGTTATTTATTTTGTATACAAGCCCACTGTTTGACATCATTAAGACCCATCTTCCACAGGTTCATTGTTATGCTGATGATACCCAGCTGTATATTTCTTTTAGCACTGACAATTCAGAAAATCAAAGATCGTCCTTAGCAGCTAGGGAGACCTGTACTCAGGATTTACGTAACTGGTTGTTGGCTAATGGTTTAATGCTGAATGACAGTAAAACTGAGTTTATGATTATTGGGACCCCCAAACAGTTGTCTAAAGTTAACCTTGATTCCATTCATGTTGGTGATTGTATGGTTACACCTGCACCCATTACTCGTAACTTAGGCTCATGGTTTGATGTACATATGTCAATGAACACTCACGTTCAAAAGGTTTGTGGAAGTGCATTTTATTATTTACATAACATCAGACGTATACGAAAATACCTGTCCACTAAGTGTACTGAAACCTTGATTCATGCTTTCATTTCCAGTCGTTTAGATTACTGTAACAGCCTTTTATATGGCTTACCTGACTGTCAGATTAATCATCTTCAACGAGTACAGAATGCCTGCGCTCGACTTGTTTTTAAGTCTTACAAGTATTGTCATGTTACTCCATTAATGGTTGATCTTCATTGGCTTCCAGTGAGGTTTAGGATTAATTTTAAAATTTTGTTGTTGACTTATAAATGTTTTTATGGTCTAGCTCCGGTTTACCTTAGCCAACTTATCGTTAAGAATCCCTCATCCCGTTACAATCGGCGTAGTTCTCATGATGACACTCTCCTGGGCTACCCTTTTCGCCGTACCAAAGTTACCCTTGGGGATCGTGCTTCACTTCCCGATTCACATTAGGAGAGCTAACAGTGTTGATAACTTCAAGTCTCTGTTAAAAACTCATCTTTTTAAGTTGGCCTTTTACTGATTTTATTGTAACTTCTTTGTATTTTAACATGTGAAATGGTGGGTCGTTTTAAGCTCCTTGCGAGTAATTTTTTGCTGTTACTTTTTTTATTTTTAATGTGTGTAATAGCGCGTCATGGTACATTTTTAGAGTGTATTTTCTTGTATTTTAATTAATATTTTACTGTACAGCGCATTTGAACAAAATCATATTGGAATTTGCGCTTTATAAATGAATAAATTATTATTATTATTATTTGCTTAAATCCGGCGCTTTCATTTTGAGTAGTTTATTTCCTACCATGGCGTATCCCATCGAAAGACC